ATGCAGTGTATTATTTGTTGAAACTGTACTTCCGATTTGATTTGAAACTGTCTCATTGCTATATGTTTATCAATAAAACTGTAGAAAAAAAATTAAAAAAAAATATTAAAATGATAGAAACATCGAATGAGCAATACAAGAAAAACTAAAGTGCACGAAACAGATTCAATCAGATCGCCAGAACATTAAGAATTCCATTCAAAGCTGGAAAAAACTCTGAAATGAAACTAAAGATACTATCTCAGACCCTGAAGATAGCATTGCAGCCAGTGAAAGTGAAAGGAGAGGTTTCTTTCAAAGTACAAGGAACCAGACAATAACAGCACAACAGCTTCAAAATGATGCAAAGAAAAATAATGTCAGGCTAATAGATATCAACAAAAGACCTGGAATCAACATAAATGACACAAAAAAGACTTTACAGATGTAGTAGCAGAAAATTTCACCAGCATGGAGAAAAAGTATGACATACAGTTAGGTGAGACATAGAGAATTCCAGTTAGCCATAATCAAAATAAATCTACACCCAGACACATAATAATCAAGATCCCAGGAATTCAGCAAAGGAATCGAATTTAAAAGCCTCTAGAGAGAAGAAGTAGATCAGCTATAATGGAAAGCCCATCAGAATCACAGCAAATTTCTCAACACAGACCATCAAATCATGAAGATCCTGAAATGAGATATTTCAAGTCCTTAAAGAAAACAACTTTCAACCCAGATTGATGTGCCCTGAAACACTATCAAATTTAATAGGGAGAGAACATACTTCCATGAAAATGAACAACTGAAGAAATTCATGACCACCAAACAAACCCCACAGAGTACTGACAGATATTTTAAAAGGCGAAAGATTTACACGATCTGAAGAGAAACCAGAGTATGACAGATATTTTAGAGACAAGTACAACCACAACTATAAGAACAACAGAGGAGAACCACAAAGCAGAGCAAGCAATGAAGCAGAGAGGAAAGTAGGGGTTCTACAGTAGACACGACAAAGATAAACCAATGTGTATCCATTACAATCAATAGCAGTGGCCTCACTTCTCCAATCTAAAGAAGGAGACTGGCAGAGTTGACCAATAAACAAAATCCAACAATATGGTGCATACAAGAAACAAATTTAACTGAAAAAAAAAATTAATAGATTGAAAATCAAAGGATGGAAAACAATACCCCATGCAACAGGTACACAGAAAAAAGCAGGGGTAGCTATTCTGGTTTCTGACAAGGTCAACTTCAAACCAAGGGGAACATAAATTCTGATTAAGGTCAACAGAAAGATTAAAATGGCACATTCTCACTTACACAGTTTCCCAGGTAACCAATCTAAGGCTCAATGTCATTCAAATTCTCCATGTGGGAGGGTAGTTGGGACATGGAACAGAGAGGGTACTGGAAACTGATACTGAAGACTTTACTTCTCATAATTATGCTGTTGTAAATACTTGAATTTGTTTATTAAAATATGACTGACCGGGATCACCGCTCTGCTTAATCTTTTCCTTTCCTATTATTGCTGTTGTTCACTACAATGCGACTTAATTTTACCTCAGCATTGAAGTGGCAAATGACAGAGTGAAGATAAGCCCCCGCAAGAGCCAAGTGTGTAGGAACAAGGAAGCTTTATTGGGAGCTCACAAATGCAGCCCTGACTTTGGGTCAGAACTTCAAAATCGTCAGTACTGGCCTGCATTTTGCTTTCAGGTTGTATATTTTAGGTATCTATAGCAACCATACTTACACAATCTTGGGAATGCCGTGGAATTGTCACAAAATTGTTATAGAGTTTACATTCTCCGGGCACTGTAGACCACCTCCTGGTTACAGGATATTGTGGTTGGATGTTTACCTTACTTCCTAAGCTGTTTTGCTTGGCTTTGTTTTCTTCCCTAGGTTTTACTGTTAACGACAAGAGAGGGAGTGAGGGAGTGAATTAATCTACAGTTTAGGTGAGCTTAAGTGATTTAGATTTTTAAAAAAGGGTCACAGACCCCAGCGTGCCATGCGGGCCCCGCCCCCGGGGCGCGCTGAGACAGCTATTGAGACTGGGCGTGGCGGCGCGCGTGTAATTCAGCACTTCCGAGGCTGAAAACGGGACAACCACTGCGAGTCCGATCTAC